TTTGAGAGCCATGGACTCGATCCCTGTCGAAGCATAAGCATGCCTTGCGAAAATTGCAACTAGTGGCTGCTGATGTCTTCCTTGAAGTTCCCCGCGGGGTTTTAAGTTACCTTTTCGGTTCCAAACTCATGAGGAGTTTCACAGAAGACAACAATAGCGACATTCTGATGAGGTTCATTCAAAGCCGCACATGGCAGCTTACTAGTATCAGTGTCAGGCCAGACCGCGTTCCGTACCCAACCTACTTCGCTCTACCTCACGCGACACCACGAATTAAATGTGATTTTCAGATCCATGCTTGAATAATGGCACATGCATTGATGATCTGGCCAATTTTCGTTGCGTCTGTCAGCCTGGATATACTGGGCGAACCTGCGGTGTCGACATTGGTCAGTGCTAACCATACAACATTTCACGATGTCCTAAGTCCGATCGCTTCCTTACAGATGACTGCGCTGACAATCCCTGCCTGAATGGTGCAACTTGTGTAGATGGAATTAATCGCTACGAATGTGTATGCAAAAGAGGATTCAGCGGACGTGACTGTCACATCAACGATGATGACTGCAGACCTGGGTAAGTACTTCTCTGTGCATGATCGTGTCCCACTGTCGATATCTATTGCGCCAATGATTTCTTAGTGATCGTAAACGATCCACATCAGTCCGTACATGTTTGGGTATTGTAAATAAGCGGCGCCTCAGCTGAAGCAAATATTAATTGGCGTAAGTGATAACAATGAGGTCGTGGGAACATGGCACTCATCAAGTGGGCAAAGTCTCTCTGACTGGGGCCGCTATCAAGATTGTCAGCTCTGATAGGAGGTGAATGTGCTACTACTGTTGTGAATAGAAGGGGAAGCATGGGGAATTCGTAACCATCTGACCTCTACCTCTTCACGAGATCATTTCGCTAACTATGCACTAGCGTTTTTCAGCTACATACCTCTATTTCAAAGTCCCTAAAGTGAGTGGCCCAGAGAAAGCGCATGAATGTCAAGTATAAATAAATAAATGAATAAATATAAATGAATAAATAATAAAAAAGAATTTAATAGGAAAATAAATAAACAGCGAAATAATATTAGTAGAGGGCATGCAATGCAATGTATTATGATGGGATTTGGTCAGGAGCACGAATTCCCAGAAACCGTTTACTTCCCTCGCGGGTAAAGTGTTTTGCTCGCGGCTCAGCCCCTGTGTTACTTTCCTTCCGTTTCGAATGTGCTCAGTCAAATAAATAAACAAATAAACAATATCAAACGACTGTACCAAATTTTTCGTAAATGTATTTCCGTTCATATTTCGTTATAGGGACATTTGGAAAACGGGAGCCAAGCTGGCATTCGGAAATGGAAGCCAAGCTATGTTATTGTACTACGCCCCAAAAATACAGTATATTTCTAAGCGCTATCGCAGGAAATGGGGGTGGTGGCATGCATTCGAACATGCCTGAAAGCCTAAAACGTCTTTTCATGTAGTTGAAATCGCGATCAAGCCTTAAGCGAGGGAGGAGAGACTCGAATGCGTGACCAGTTTTATTAACCCTGAAGTCCCTGCTTTGTCATGGGCTTAGTCCTAGCGAATGCCCCCGCTTTCTTGCGATAGCGCCTACTTTTATGTTAATTGTTTCCTTTGATTCTAGCCTTTTTGGATGGATTAGGAGCAAAATTTGTTGGACACACTAATACCAGTAGCCCAAATATTTTACTTGAACTGAAGGATGTGAAGAAACCACTTTACCACAAACCAGTACAGTTGCTGGAGCTATTATATCCCTGCTCTTCTTAATTTAACTATGAGCGACCTCATACATAACCATATGCACATTACGCTTTTAAGGTGTTAAGTATCATTAATTACCATTGTTCGCATCGAGGGTAATTGTCACGGTTGGAATGGCTCACTCGAGGTTGATGGAATTGGTTGTATTCCAACAAATGGATCGATCCTTTCGAAGCGACTTCTTTTCCTGGAGAACCACTTTGGCCCAAAAATGTGCCAAATAAATGCGTCCAGTGATAGAATATAAAGTTCCAATTATTGGCAATACTTCTTGAAGGGTCATGCTCTCAAATTCTACCCAAAACCGTTAATGTGACATCCCAAACGGCTTAGTAGTGTAAAGCAGGTTGCCGTCAGATTCCCCTGTCCATAGATTCTCGTTCAAATCTGAGAGACCCATTTAAATGATCCTGGTTTCCTGTGAATGAAATCTGACCCATCGATTCACTCGATTGCGCAGAAACCATTACGTAATCTCCGTTCTTCTTAATAATGGCTAGGAAACTACCGAAAAGAATATCTCGCTTTTCAGTTTATGCCTGAACAATGGAAAATGCATCGATCTGGTGAACAACTACAAATGCGATTGCCCCCGTGGATACACCGGTCGTAATTGCCAAATTTTCGTTGATCTTGATAAATTCAACGATACAGACAGGTAAGCAGGATTACGAAGGAAAACTTAGAAGAATGCTTCGTTCCATTTTGTTACTTAAAAGCCTAAAGTGGCGTATTTTAGGCTGGAACAAAGATACTGCGAGCTGTCCGACTGCGCATCAAAAGGAGGTGACGGTGTATGCCATGCTGAGTGTAATTTCTTCGCTTGTGCCTTCGATGGTGGCGATTGCTCGGCCAGAAGTGAACCCTTCAGCAAATGTGACTCGGCTAGCTATTGCTCTCACGTTTTCAAAGATGGTCATTGTGATTCGGTAAGTGTTTTGCTTTCGTGACCAACTCTGACCACGATGTGTCGCCATCTAGTACTGTATACAATATTCTTGTCATGAAACTGCCTGTTCTGTAGAATTTGCTCTTCTGCCTCACTTGGGGTTGGATACCGGGGTTACGGCACGTCTCGCGATGAATCAATTCGAAGGTAGGTGGTAGGAACCGCAACGGAAGAGGTAAAGCCACATTTCGACTCAAGTCGCTTGGCACATGCGCTGTGAAGCTAAAATCTGCATTCATGCCGTCCCTCGCATCCATGCATGTACACTTGGGGATGCGTTGGTGTCTGCGTCTCGTTTGTCGCCATGCTCTGCCGTTCTCAAGTCCGTTTTGTCGCCTCGGCGCCCACTGTTCCTTAGGCTCTTTCCCAAGGACTCGCCCGCTACACAACTAAAAAGGCCACCATTTTCAGTGCTTTCGTCGACATCTTTTCCTTTTCTCTTCGCTGGTGGATCATTTTTAGCCCTCATTTTTTACCTCATTACCCCCTTTCTGCTATCAGGGGGCATGCATTGGAGACATCTCTACAGCTCCTTCCATTACTATACAATAGCCATACTTGTTCCTTGCCCTCCCCCCCCACGTTCACACAAATGTTCGCACAAATGGAATGCTTTGCTTCTATTATTCTATTTTATTCATACCTTCTTTCTCTGTTCAGCTCTAAATGTGGAGCTGAGTGCGAAGAGCAGTACGTCTGGGGTCATGAAGGTTTGTGTACGGTAACCCTTTCCGGTCATTTCATCCTACCCGGGCACGATGCGTCTCTACCCTTCCCGCAAAGCTCTACGACTTTTCCGACTCTTTTCCGACTCCGAGTTCAGATGCTTGCACGCACTTAATCCCACCCACTAGCGCAGCCTTTTTCAGATCTGCAACAACGAAGCATGCTTGTTTGATGGCTTCGATTGTGCTCTCGGTCACCGTGATTGTCCATCGAATATTGTGGACTACTGCCGTATTCATGGTCATGACGGTATCTGTGACGACCAGTGCAACTCACCGGAGTGTGCTTTTGATGGTGGAGACTGCTCAAGGAAGAAGCCACCCTCTATTGTCAGTGTTCACTGGAATTGTCAAGAAATTTACAAGCATCGTTCAATATTAATTTTTGCAGCTACCTGGTGACATTTCTATAGTGGTTCTTACGACTCCCGAAAAATTCGTGAAAAACGTTGGTCTATTCCTACTCACGTTGAGTCAAAAACTACGAGCTTCAATTCGAATAAAAAGCGATGAACTTGGTCCACTTGCGTTCCACTGGAATGGACGCCCGTCGTCCAAGCGAGTCGCTTTTGGGCATGACCAGGTCAGTTCCACTTTGTCTCCTACTGGTTTTTCAACAGAGTAATGGTAGAGGTTGTTGACTTCAATCAATCGGTACTTTTTTGGAATGCGCCACACTTTCGACTTCCATCCATAGGCGAAGACATTTTAACTCGTATTTGCCCATGGTGTGAATGACGGTAGGCAACCGACGTTCAGCCAGCTATTTCATCCTCTCAGACAATCTGAAAAAGGTTCTATAAACCAAACTCAAGGAAGAGCAGGCGCTGGGTCAGACGGGATTCGACCACAGATTTTGTGCCCGCAGCGCGCGTACGACAGCGGCGCTACTTGACACTGCTACATCACCTCCTAGCTATACTGCTGTTATCCACTCACAAAGCAACTGAATCCCTTCCACACAACAACCGAAGGAGATAAGAAGCGATTGCGTACCATAAGAAGGCGAATAAGGTTTCTCCTGTTGTTTCCAATACCAAGACCATACATCCATGAGTTTACCTTGATGCAGGGTCGCCGTTCGCTGTTCCAATTGCAGAATTTTACCAGCATTACTATCAGGGAGAGGGTCTTCATCAAACCCCTCCCCTTTAATAAACTCACATCCGATTCCCTTCCCCCCTACTCGTTGGGGCTTGCACAACGAAAGACTCACCTTGCCCCGATTTACGCACGTTACGATTTCCAAGCTCACTTTTTTGTGTATTCTATGAAAAAATTTCATTTGCAATTGCATACTCCCAGACTCAGTTGAAATTACATGCTAGTGACTGTATTTAGAAGACCGGTTTTGAAGTTCTCAGTAGCCATTTGAGGCGGAATTATAATGAAGTTGGAGTTTGGCAGGTTGAATGATGGCTCGCGAAAATGTGGTTTCGAATTAATAAGTTTAAATGAGCTGAATGTAATAGGAAGTAGGCGTCGCATAGCATGGTACATGCTGTATACACTCACCAACGCATACAATGTTGGCAAAACAGAAGGTCCTGGCCGGGATCGAACCGGCGGCCTTCTGCGTGTAAAGCAGACGTGATAACCACTACACCACAGGACCACGCCAGAGTTCGCTCAGCGCACTCTCTTCCGTCATATCTACGCGAGAACTAGCAGTTAGCATTCAACAAACTGCTTAGTATGAAATACCCATCAAATTATCCAATAACGCCAGAAGTAATTAATTGAATAAACATCGAAGTGAAGAAACGGTACCAGCAGGTCCTCAGCGTTTTTATCCGCTCATAGATGCATTCATGCAATAAATAAATCGCTTCGTAGCGCGCGAACTTCTGTTAGAGCAGGAACTGCGATTTTGAGCATTAACATATTTGCTGTGATGAGGTGGAGATGGTGTAGGGGTAGCGCCATTTATCCGCGTGCACATGTAGGGGTAGCGCCATTTATCCGCGTGCACAATCTTAGGATCAGGTCCCGCCCAGGTCAGACCTTCAATCTTATCTCTTCAATCTCTCAGGGCTATTTTATTGACACCTAGCTAGTCTGAAAAAGTGGAATCATTGATTGAAAGTGGCCCTCCAAACCAACGTGTAGGCCAGGACACATTCAAAAGTGTACACCACATTTGTGAGTGAAGTAGGAAGCGTGGCGCATACCGAAAGGGGCAACAAAGGATGCCCCATGCTTGATCCTTTGATTAAAGTTATTGCTTGAGTTTATGTTGACTCCTTATATCTGCACTGTTACAGTAGTTTACTATTCTAGGAATTATCGATTAGTTATGGAGGAGAAATTCGGATGAAAAGGGCCAGTCCGGATGTGGGTGTTCTTGTATGGATTGAGGTGGATGTTGCGGACTGTTATGGCGAATGCTTCAGTGATGTTGACATCGTAGCAAACTACTTGGGAGCTGCGAATGCCAAAAAGGTATCGGTCTTTTTTGACTTAACAAAGGATCACCTTGGACAGATATGTATGTGTTAAGGATCTGGCTGAAATGGGAATGCCCATCTATGAGGCAATCGCTCGCCACAAAGTCTCTGACGGCACGCCATTTTCCTACTCCGACGGTTACTGGTCATTCATTATCGGATGCTTCGCCATTCTCATAGTGGTCGTTACCGTATTCGTCCTGCAACAGCGTACTCGTAAACGTCGAACTATCAAAGCACCCTGTTGGGTCCCACCAACTGAAGCTCAGCGTAAGTTCCGTGACAAGGTTAAGTAGCAAATATAAGTATTACTGGAGGATTTTCAGATAAATTGTCATCGTTGTCGCAAAGCGAGCAAATGCTGAGATCTGGTTTCTTTTCTGATGACCTTTTCCCTTCAAAAAGGCAGCGCATAGAAAATCTTAACTATTACAAGTGAGTAACTTTTGTTTTAACTTTATAGCTAAACGTATTTTTATATAGCCTTTTTCTTGAACCCTATCTTCTGCCGTTCAGTCTGCCACCATCACCTAAATGGACGCTCCTCCTCATTTGCTAGTCCTCTGATGAGAGGATTCCCTCTTTTCAAGTACATTATGAATATCAAATTCCAAGCTTATCCACACCGAATGATACCCTTCACTCTTCTTCCTCTTTCCTCTCATATCACGCTTGCGGCCCCCACACATGCACTCCCAAATTGGAATCTCCGGCGCAAGGTACCGAACAGGAGGAGGTGCATAATTATTGAGAGCCGGCACATCCAACATCCCTCTCCCATAATCCTACACGCTAGGATTGAACCTAAGAGGAGACTAGGGGAGCGGCAATTCCCATCTTCCCCGAAGTTCCTCCCTTTTTCCCAGGCTCAGTCAGCCCCCCCCCCCTAGTACATTAGCGCCGAAAAGCTCTTCATGAACGTCCATCGCTGTGTCTTGAGCCAGTTGGCGAAAGAATGAACGGGTGAGCAGCAAGAGGAGAATTCAAGAAAAGAGCGACATAGAGCTCCTGTACAATATGATGGCAACTTACTTACAAGTTGGATGATAGCTTATTTCCCACCGAAATCCTCTTTTTTTCCAGAGTATGCGAATATGCGAATCCTGCAAAGAAGATCCCACCGCGTGTTACAACACTGCATAAGCAGGCCTCTTCAAATGTTCCAATTCAAATTGAGGGAGCAACGAATGTGAACGTAAGAGGACCTTTTGGCAGAACTGCCCTCATGATGTTGTGTGACAACTTCGAAAAGCCTGAAAGTCAGCTGATTGAGGAGGTGGACAAAATCTGGGCCGCTGGTGGAGACTTGAATGTGCAGGATGACGGTAAGCCCTTCAAAGATGATTCATTTTGGAGAAAACTTCATAATACTATTTTTATAGATGAAGAAACTGCGATTTTCATTGCGGTACGACAAGGCCGATTGGGATTAGTAAAGAAGCTGCTTGATATGGGCGCTGATCCGACGATCATGAACCACAACGACTCTACTTGTCTTCACGAAGCTGCCGCGAACTGTAACCTCAGCTTGGTCGAAGAGCTTCTCAGACATAACTCCGTAGTGAAGGAGGTAGGTCGTAAAGTCTATAAAGTTCGGTTAAGTTGAATCGGTTGAGGTTGATCGGTCGTCTTGGTGTGCGCCATTCATCCTACTCCAAATTTGGAAGTGTTTTCATGCGTACTTTACCCAACGCAATATAAGAGGACTTTCAGGACGAGAATTCCTTTCAGTGTTTTCTTTTAATCACTGACGACAACTGTTATGCGTGCATTTCGGCATCCGACAATGTAGAAGAACAGTTTCGGAACACAAGAAATATTCGAAAATATAAATAAAACCCAATCCCGTACGCAAAAGTGGCGCGCAACCGCGTCACACGGTCCCCAATGCGTCACTACATTATTATGGTAGCCTAGTATTATTTGTTAGGCTCTCGAATACTTTTCTTAACTACACAGGGTACCAAAAACTCAAAAAGAAACATTTCAGCAATGCTTCGAGAATATCAAAAGTTCTACCGATTTAGATTGATGTGTGTGATAATAACGATCGCACTCCTCTGATGCGATGCGCAGCCAATGACACCGTTGACCACAAGGTGGCAGAACTCCTCATCCGTCTGGGTGCTGATCCCTCCTACCCCGGTGACAAGGTTAGTAATGCCCAGCAATATTCCTGAGGTCTCCCACATACACAATGATATCGCGAATTTCAGAGCGCTCTTTCCTACAAGGGACGTACAGCTCTACACTATGCCGCACAAGTCAACAATGTTCAGATGATCGAGTTTTTGATCAGTAGGGACGCGAACAAGGATGCACAGGACCTAGAGGTTCGGGCATTTCATCCACAAATTCTTCACATAAACCTTGGATGATAAAAAAAAATCTACAGCGTTTACTTCAGGATCGAACTCCACTTTTCCTTGCCGCCTCTCACGGTCATCTTGAAGCCGTGCAAGCACTCATCAAAGCAGGAGCGTCTCTGGAAATTTCCGATCGGAAGGTATTGTTTTTGATTTGACCCCCCTTATTACCTGAGGTGTAGGGTTATGTCATGCTTGTCCAATAAGCCAAGTGCCAAATGGAGTTGCGCAGTCTCTCAAATCTGCTAAATTTACCTCTCAGATCCCGCCTATCTTTCAAATCCCGTCTCATAAAGACACCGTTTCAAGCATGCGCTCGGTTTTTCGTAGTTGAGAGGTAGAGACTTTTCGACTAATTTGGCAAGTTATCATCTCTCGATACGAGGGTTTTGCAATTTCTCTGGAAAATATCGCAATGGCCATATCTAGACGCTCCTATGCACCAGAAAACTCTACTTTGAATACGAAGTTTACAATGAAAACGCAGCCCATCGGAATCAAGGTAGAAGTAGTCAGTGGTGCGAGAATTAAGAAAAACATGAGAAAGGCGAAGAACCCCCCCTCCCTTCATCGCCTGTTGATTTCCGTACTTTTTCATTTCCGTGTTGCCCTCTTCACAGCTAAGGCTCTCTGCTAAGTGGATGGAGTGAGACGGCGAGAGGCTATCGAGGGAGGGGGAAAGGGGAGGGCTGCGGCGCGAGCAGAGCTAAGCAAATAGAAAAATAAAAAAAATACCACTTCGGAACAATATGAACACGGAACCAATATACGGTCCTTCCAGACCGCTGGGGGGATACTCTTCGCTGCAATACCTGCACTGTCTCGCCTATTGAAGGGTACGACTGTCCTCGACTAAGAAAGTTTCCCATTTTCGACCCCGAATTTGTCGTGGAATCCTCCTTCAAACTTTCGGTATCGAGTTGGCGTTAGCTCCCTACAACACGGTCCTTTACAGGATCGGACGCCCTACAAGATAGCGGAAGAGAACGAATTTCGACATCTGTTGGAACTACTGGACCCAGACGCAAAGAAAACCAGTGTCCTTCTGCATATTATGGCCAACGGGAAAAATAATGTCAAAAATAATTCTCGTCAGGTAAAGGTAAGTGTTCCAGCCGCATCCTATCAAGACTACTCGAATGCTCATGCGAAATAGATCAACTTTCAGCGGATACCAGTGAAACGCCGGCCACAACCGCTCACTCCTCCACACTCGGACGGGTGCGGTTCAACGCCTTCACCGCGAGCTGCTTTCGGGGCTCCATCACGGCCGATCGCTTCCGTCCTAGATTCACCGTCTAGTGATCGCACCAGCACGGGTAACGATGGATCTTCGCCCAGTTCACTGCCCTTGGTACGTTATTTGGGCATTCTATCTTTTCTCACTGCTCATCCGCTACTCGTCAAAAGTTCAGTCCCATCTCTATCAAAATTTTTCAGGCGCTTCATTCGTATTGGGCATCAGATGTTTCCCATCAGTCACCACCGTATGAGACAACTGAGCTGGGAATTTGCTCGTATTACAACAACTATGCGATACCGAATCCCACATACGCATCACAGACACTTGCCGATGTCCCATATTCTTCATGTCAGCATTCAGAACGATCCTCGTTTTACAGCAAACAGGTGTGAGAACGCTCAGAGGCTGTGGATCCCGATGATATTCTTCAACTAGCTCGACTCGGCCCAAAGCGGACGTTTTCCTGGCGCCCAAATTTGATATCGATACCGCGCGCGTCAATCAATAATCATCTTTGCCACATGAGCTAGGGGTGGGCTGTGGAGCGATTACGGCTATG